TTATTCAAAAAAATCGGAAATTTTGTCAGATTATAGACCTTAACAAGGACTAATTCTGTGCAAAAGTTCAGCCCGATTGATTAAATAGTTTTTGAGAAAAAGCTATTCGTTAATAAATCGTTTTTCGCTAATATCTTAGAAGCTAGTCAGCCGATTTACATTTTTTTTCAAAATATTCGTTTCGATGCCTTCTATCCGAATCAATCAAAACATATATACCCGTTCATACAAAGTTTTCGAGATATTTTCGTTTTTCTGTTTTTTCATAAAAATCCTTGTAATCACTCTAGCTTGTACAAAAACTGAGATATCAACTTGAGATTTGGAGAGAATCTTCCTCTCATGATAACAATCCATCCTATTGAAAATGAGCTCAATCGCATGAGTAGTTTCCGAGATATTTGAATTTCTCTGAAAACCTTTTATGTGCAATATCTTAAAAACTACGCAACCGATTTCAATTTTTTTTTTTAAATATTTGCTTCGATGCCTTCTATCAGAATCAATCAAAACATATACGGCCGTTTATGGAAAGTTTTCGAGATATTTCCGTTTTTCTGTTTTTTCATAAAAATCCTTGTAATCACTCTAGCTTGTGCAAAAATTGAGATATCAACTTGAAATTTGTACAGAATCTTCCTCTCATGATAACAATACTTCCTATTGAATGAGCTCAATCGCATAGGTAGTTTCCGAGATATTCGACTTTCTCTGAAAACCTTTTATGTGCAATAGCTTAAAAACTACGCAACCGATTTCAATTTTTTTTTTCAAAATATTTGTTTCGATGCCTTCTATCCGAATGCCTTCTATCTCATTCGGAAGCTTACTACCAATGGAATTGGTAGAAATGAAAGAAAGAAAAAGAGTCATAACAGATAAAGTAACGGTCAGATGGATTCGGCCAAAAAGGCTCGAATCCCTGCTTGTTTTTATTCTCAATCAAATAATATTATTATTTATTCGACAAAAAAATGAAAAACTTTGATAGCTTGCTCAAAAACATCAATGTTTGGAAAAAAGAATCAATGTTTTTGATTAATCGACAAACATCGCCCGTTCATAAGTACAATAGCTACATCTGTTGATTTTATTTTTATGATGATTTTTGCAAATTTCGAGTTTTCCATCATATATTAATAATAATCGTCACCAACAGCCTAAACGTAGCTTATGTAGATGACAAACCTGTTGAATGCAGAGCCGATAAAAAAGCCAATTTCAATAACTAGGAAACCGTTCAATGAAAATATAAATACGGAAACGTCGATAGGAAATATAGCTCCTGGAGTCAATGCTATCTGGTTGGAACGAGAATGTCAGCCCGCGAAGCAACAACGGGGTGAGGGGAGTGATATAGGACCGCAAAAGAGACAATTGTTTATATGAAAGAAAGGGATAGTAAGAGTAATGATAATGATAACATTCAGCTAATTTGAACATCTGACGCAATTATTTGAAAATAAATTTCATTCAATTTAATAACAAAATGCACAATGAATTATATACTACAGAAGAAAATGATGGACAAAATGACCTTTTGGAAGCATATTGATAATTTATATGCAAAAATAACTATACCATATGAAGACAAGAGCAATATCCCACGTGTTTCTCTGGAGGCTGAAAAACACGAAAAAATTCTCAATGATGCATTGTACTCAGATATTTCTCCCACGAATTGTTCAATCTTTTTCAATAATTTTGACACTTCTCATAAAACATTTAATGGTTCATGTTTGATCTATTTGTCGTGCTGAAGTGGTAGAACCACTGCTTCAAATAATATTTTTGGAATCACTATGGAAAAATGTAATTGAGAAGACCTACCTGAACTTCATTATCTCTGAACATTTTACTGTGGAAGATTCAGGGAAACGAAGCTCATTATCCGTGATCATTTACTGTCTTCGGTGACGATGTGGTATTTTTAAAATCAAAGTACTCGTAGTCAAACACTTGATAAGGATGTATCCCGCATTATTAAATAACTCATTGGAAAACAAGTGGATAATAGTTTCGATAATGAGTTGGCACTTTGCTACCGAAAGCCTGTAATTTTCAGGTATAAAATTTTTTATTTCTCCAATTTCCTAGATTTCTAAGTCTTTGAAATGATCATCTTTCTAGATTTTTCTAATCGACAATTTTTCATTATTGGTTGAAACTTCTGATTTTATGGCGGATTGCTCCGTATTTTTTTCAATTCCATTTCTGACCATTTTAATCAGGCCAATGCTAACATATTGGCCCTATGAGTGAAGTTAATCCAACAATTATTTTCTGAAGCATCATTGAGAAATTAATTTCATTAAAATAGGATATTTCTATACAAGTGCGTAAGACTTTTCGTGATAACTATTAGAAAAGTGCATTTTTCGAAATAGTTTAGTGTATGTAAATCGGTTGTTTTCTTCACGGAGTGGGTAAAGTTCACGAGCGTGCGTAAAGTAAAATTTTCCACACATCGGATGGGAAATAGGGTTCGACACTCGTGCAAAAAGCGTTCTTTAACGCATGGGAGGTTAGCACTCGCCATTAGCGAGCGCTACACACCTCCTACAGGTCGAAAAACACTTTTTCGTCACTGAGACCCGATAAGCGGCGCTTACGGGGGCTGTGTTGAGATGGGGTAAATGGCGTTTAGCATACCAGGTCTGTAAAACGAGGTACAGGTATGGTAAGTGAGACTTACCATTCCTTGGTCAGTAAATTCATACAGTTTCTAGATGGGTAACCCACAAAACATTCGTAGAAATACAACATGAAGTGAGCCATTATAACTGTCGCTTACATGAAAACTCGGCGGATCGTACAATCCACCGAGATGCGCTACCGCCACTGCCGATGGTTTCAATATATTTATGTTAGAATGTGATGAAAAATATGAGTATGTTGCGCAAAGAGGAGGAGCGATGAAAGAGGAAAATTGCAAACTGTGGATGTTCACGCGTTGAATTTCTCTTGAAAATAAATTTTGAGAAATGATCAAACCCTCTTTTCATTCTTTCGATTTGACGCAATTTCCATTTCAGCAGGAGGAGGATTTCCATTCCCATCTACATGTTTTTTGAATGTTCTTGACAGACTTTAGAATGTTCTTGACAGGCGGAGTTTTTTTGTTCAATGTTTTTGATCGACAGAAAAGAAAAATGAAATTTAAAAAAAAGCAGTTTATTTTTGGAGCAATAAATAATCCCCCACCCCTTCCGTTGCCGTTTAGCTTGACGGTGAGTCTTTTCCGCTAGTTTGAGCGAATTGTCCTTGAAAAATTTAGGGGAGTAGGGGGTGGGATTGTTCAACGAGGATTCTCGATGTACGACCCCCCCCCCTCAATCCCTCGAATTTTTGAAAAAACTCGCTATAGTTTCCGAGATATTCTTGAAAAACTCACAGGCAATTTAGATTTTTGTCTATTTTGTCATGTATTTTTTTTTGTCGCCTTCGGCGAGCCTCGTCGCTGCCTTAACGACGCCTCGTGCTGCTAACTTCACACTCATCACAAACCTCCGTCTACGGTCCTAATGACACAATATACTATTACACACTCGTATCTTAAAATACTATCTCGTGCGTAAAGGAGATTCCACAATGAACGCATCGAAGGATTAAAGCGACGCTTGCAATTGTTTGAATCATTCAACTGTTTTTCCATTATTTTGACAATACCGGTCTGAACAGCGAGCTCGGCATCAGGTATCACAAAAAATTGGTTGCGTTAGACGTGAGTGCGAGAAAGTGGAACATTACCCATTAGGTCCAATGTATTACTTTTTACACGTGGAGGGGTGTACAAAAGTGAGTGCTACACTTCCAAGGGTCAAAGAACACTTTACCCACGAGTGTCAAACCCTATTTTTCATTGCAATATGTGGAAAGTGTGCAATTTTCACTTTACGCACTAGTGATTAAATCGTACATTGTGTTACTAGTCCGTAAAGATCCACCTTTCCACACGCGCGTGTAACACATCCTATTTTTTGATACCTGCCGAGTTCACTGTTCGAAACGATAGTGGAGGAAAAGGTGTTGTTTTTGTGCACAAGTGCATAAAGTTCAAGGGCAAAGCTGTACGCACGAGAATTCACTTTGCGCACGCTCGTGAAATTACGCACGCCGTGCGAAAAACCGCTTTATGTACACTAAACCGTTTCGAAAAATACACTTTTTATGCGGGTATCACAAAATAGTATATTTCATTACTTGTACGTAAAGCACACATGTAATGAACACCTTTCATCCCACGAGTGCCGAACCTCATTTTTCATCACAATATGTGGAAAGCGGGGTTTTGCACACGCGAACCGCGGGGTTACACACATGTGATGAAATAGTATATTGTGTTACAAGTGCGTAACGAACCACTTTTTCGCATGCACGCGTAACATCCTATTTTTTGTAATACTTACCGAATTCACTGTTCGGAACCGTAGTGGGGGTAAAGTGTTTGCTTTTGTGCACGTTGTGCATAAAGTTCAAAGTCGTATGTAAAGTGAATTTCGAGTGCGTAAAACGAGGCTTTACGCACTAAACGGTTTCGAAAAGTGAACTTTTGAGGCAGGTAGTACAAAAAAACTTATTAAGGTCTCGACGCTAGTCAAAATTTTATAAAATTCAAGGAATTCATGACTCCGAAGCCATCAATCAGCCATGAAATCGAAAGAAGAGAAAATTCTTTTCTAATTATCTGGTCTAATTACAACAAGAAAAAAAACAAAAGTTTCATTCAAACCAACCTGACAATTTTAACCAGGCCAATGCTTACGTATTATTGCCACTCAGGTTGGCCCGTTGTCGTTTACGCGCCGTGTCACTCGTACAGCATAAACACTAATACCTCACCAGGAAAAATCGTGCAATGGCATCACAAGAAATAGTATCCAACCATTTCTGTTATAGTGGTGGTCGGGCCAGTGGTGACGCGCGCCGGCAGGGGAACGGGGCTGTGGCGGTTTTTTTTTTCACAAACGCTACAAGTCAGTTCAGTAGTCTCAGTCGCGCGGAGTCCGCCGTTGGAGCTGCGCTCGCACGGCGGTCGTTAACAGTAGTTTTATCTTGTGTTCATCGAATCAAACGGTGAAATTATTGAGGAAAAGTTCTGTTTCCTGACGAAATCATTGGTGATTATTATTTTTTGTGACGGTAGTGATATTATTTGCAAACTGTCGGAACATACATTCAGTTCAGGTGAGTGTCCAAAAACAATTTTTTTGTGAGCAAATATTTGCTAAAATTTCATTTTATTTTATTTATTTTTGAAAAAAAAATAAAAATCCATCATTGGCTTCATTTTTATTCTTTTTTTTTAATATCATTTTGGAAGTATGAAATAAAATCATTCATTCTATTTGTCAAACCAATTTTCGAAAAAAAAAATTAAATGAAATTCATGATTTGTATAGTTCCTTAGATCCTTGTGATCCTCATAACCCTAGGCATCCATAAGGTCCCCTAAGGGTCTCCAAAGGATTTCAACAATCTTTTATGGTGAGATCATATTTGAAATAACTCTTTTTGACCCTTGTGACAAAAGGTCAGACCCTTAAAGGCTCCCTCAGGAGCCTCTAAAGGAGTATCACTTTCTCCTATCATAAGATAATGTCAAAATAACACTTATAGCCCTTTTGACCTTTGTGACCCTTGTGACCCTCATTCGTGAAGGATCCCTGAAGAATCCTGAAAAACTTTCTACCGCTTCTTATCATGACTAGTTTAAAATGATTATCATTGCCTCTTTAACCCTTCTGACGTTAGGGCGAAAAAGGTTCTCCAAAGATCCTTAAAAGATTTCCACCGTCTCCCATCACGCGACTGTATTTAAAATGACTCTTACAACTCTTGCAAGCCTTGTGTTTCTCGTGACCCTTGTCACCCATAGTCTCGATGAATTCTCCAAGGGTCCCTAAAGGCTCTCCCCGTCTTCCATCATGTGACTCTCGTTACATTAACTCTTGTGGTATTCTCCATTTCCCGCCGTGACACAATCTTTCAACTGACAACAAAGCCCTTTCGACCCTTCTGACCCTTGTGACCCTAACCCCAAAAAGGATCCATCAATGATCCCCAAAAGATTACTCTATTCAAAATGGAAACTATATTTAGAAAACTATATTTAAGATGACTCTTATAACCTTTTCAGCTCTTGTGTCGCTTATAACCCTAAATATTGAAGGATCCTCTAAAGGTCCGTACAGGCTTTCCCCGTCTTCCATCATGAAACCATATTTAAAATGACTCCTGAAGCCCTTTCAAATCTTTTGACCCTAACTCTGGAGGTGTTCCCCATCTCCCGCCATGGCACAATCTTTCAACTGACTTCGTAGCCCTTTCGACCCCTCTGACCCTTGTGAGCCTAATCCCAAAAAGGATCCCCAAAAGATTACTCTATTCCAAATGAAAACTATATTTAGAAAGGTATGTTTAAAATGACTATTACTGCCCTTTCAGCCCTCGTGTTCCTCGTAGCTCTAAGTGTCGAAGGATCCTCCAAGGGTCCCTAAAGTTTTTCCCCGTCTCCCATCCTGAATCCATTTTTAAAACGATTCGTGAAGCCCTTTCAAATCGTTTGACCCGCGTGACCCTAACTCTGGAGGTGCCCCCAAGGCTCCCTCGGAGATTTTCACCGTCTCCCGCCATGACACACTCGTTCAACTGACTTCATAGCCCTTTCGACCCTTGTAACCACAACCCAAAAAAGGATTTTCGAACGATCTTCAAAAGATTACTCTGTTGAAAATGAAAATTATGTTTAGAAAACTATAGGGGAGGGTAGGACAAAACAGACCAGGAGGGTAAAACGGACCGCAGGGCAAAACGGACCACTGACAGAAAATTGTTCATTTTGATTTATTTTTTCTTTCCTTCAAATCAGAAACACTAAATGTGTTGAACATACGAACACACATACGAACATACGAACACACGTCTGCACACACATACCTACACACATAGATATTTTAAAAACATCATTTCTTCACGTTTGATGACATTTCTAGGCATTTTCACCCAAAATTAAGAAATCGAAAAAAATCACGATTACAAAGCTTCCATTCGGAAGCAAAAACAAAAATGATCAATTTTTTGTCAGTGGATGAAAATGTTGAATTGACGTGTTGGGTTGAAATGACGCCGTGGAGTTTAGACGTGTCACCTCTGTTTTGCCCTAGGGGTCCGTTTTGCCCTGCGGCCCGTTTTGCCCTACGCTCCCCTATTCAAAATTACTCTTACAGTCCTTTCAAACTTTGTGACCCTAAATAAAACAAGTGGATAATGGCATTTTCTGTGTATGGTTATAGTTTATGTTCCTAACAAATTAGCAATATGCTTCCGAATAGATTCTCTCTTTTTGGAATCTATTACTCTTATTTTCCATTGTTTTGAATAGTGACACCCAAATGACTCTCTTATGATCCCTATATTACCCTTTTATGAGCTCATAGAACCCCCATATGACCCCATCTGGCTCCATGTGCTATCTATGTGGCCCCACATGACCCTATATAAGCCCACATGACGGCATGACTCCATGTAATCCTGTATGACCCCCATATGACTTTTGTATGAGCTGATGTGATCCTTGCATGACCCCATAACACCATATGACTCCATATACTCTCATTTAACGCCTATGTATGACTCCATATGACCCCATATGACCCACATATGACCCACATATGACCCCATGTGACCCCCATATAATGCCATATTACTCCAATATCACCTCATATGCCCCTCATATGTGCCCATATGAGCCCATTATGACACCATATGACCTCAAATAACTCCCAAATGACCTCATATAACCCCCATATGACCCCGTACAACTTTTATGTGACCCCATATAACCCATATATGACCTCCGTATGACCTAAAGCTTCACATTGTTACTATGCAACTTAATAAATAGTTATGCTGTTTTTACCATCTTTGTACTTCATCGAGAAAGCATCAAAACAATCTTCTTGAGCCATGATTTCATTGATATGACTGTTAATTTTTCCAGTTTATTATGAAATTTTTTTTTAATCTCACAAACTATGTGCTGTAGCTCAGCAGTGATAGATGCGATCCGCATCATATTCTGATGGAATCAAGAGGCTATCAATACAAATTTTTAAAGCCATGATTTATTTCATTCTGATAACAATTCTTGGACTGAGCGTCGAAAAATCGATTTTTGAAAAAATCTCAATATTTCACAAACTTTATGAATAATTCAACGTTAATTGGTGTCGATGAAAACAGCCTATTAACGTCTATATATATGGAAAAATTCGTAAAATTTTATCAAGCTCCTATAAAGAAAATTGCGAAAAAAATTTTGAAAAAACGTACACACACCTACATACATACAGACACCATCTAAAAATCGCATATTTAGACTTTTTAGACCATATTTAGTTACAGTGACACAACAATTTGGAAACTTAATTTTGAACGATTACAAAGCTTCCAATTATTTTCTCTCGTATACCCTTTCGGGTTTTTACGATTTGTTCCCTTCCCACCCCCCAACCCCCTGTACCGCATTCGTAGAAGGACGAGGGAAAACCTCACTTGAGGGAAAAACCTGCCCAGGTACAGTCGTCCCTTTAACGAGACTCCCGCTCGATAGTGAAACTGTGAAATTAGAGTGTTACAAATTTTGGCTCCCCAACCGGGTATCGAACCCGGGTCGCTCACGTGCCAATCCCATACTCTAACCACACAGCCACGGCCGTCGGTTACAAAGCTTCCATTCGGAAGCAAAAATCACCGAAGATTTTCCACTGTCTCCCATCACGATACCAATTACAATTTTAGGTATTAATCATTCCTAAATTGCAAAACAGCACGACAAAACTGGTAGTTACGCCCTTTCAACTCCGAGGCGATGATTTTTTACAATGTTAAGGGGAGCTTCACACCGAAAAAAAAAACTTTCATTTTTTGAGAAAAAAAATATTTGAAACACCATTTTCCGCGGAATTTTCCTTCAGAAATCCGATTTTATAGGTTAAAATTTTCTCCGGCCACTCAAAATTAGGGATTAGAATTTTTTTAATCGAAAAATCAACTAAAACTTTCTATTAACGGGTATTCATATTTTGATTGATCTTGATAGTGGGCGGCAATTCGAGTATTTTGAAAAAAAAAATAATCGGACCAGTAATTTAGGGGATATTGAACAAAACAGTTTTTCATAAAAAGTTGAATATCTTCTAAATCACTATGTCCGATTTCGCCTACCTACAATCCCATCTTGTAATATCATATAAGAGCTAAAATCTCACCAAATTTCAACATCGTATCTAAATTTTTTCGGGAGTTATCATGCACAAAACGATTTTCTCATAAAAACGAAAAATGTCGATTATTACCAAACTATCTTTAGTTACATAACAATATTGGGATTTGATTTGATATATATTATCAGAAGGAATATTTTGACGTAAAAAAATTTCAATTCACTCCCCGTAGTTTTTGAGATATTCAGAAAAAAGAAAATTTGAAAAATTTCTGTATCACGGAAACTGTCGGATCGATTGAGCTGGAATTGCGCCCAGAAGTGCTTCAAACCAATACCAATTATGTGACGAAATTTCCGATTTTTAGCTTCGACTTTAGTCCTTTTCTGCGAAGATTTAGAAGAATTTTCCGAAAAATTCAGGCACACATCCAAACATACACACATTTTCTAAGAACATCATATCTTCATGTTCCATGACATTCTACATCATTTCTAGGCAAAATTAGAAGATCGTCAAAATCAACGATTATTACAAAACTTCCATTTGAAAGCAAAAAATAAGGTTTCTGAAAGCTTAAACAATTATGTTATACAATTATTGTTGTTTCAATTATTCATTTACAAACAACGAATTTAAAAAAAAATAATAGCGAAACGTCGCGTATTGCCAATGACATAATACAGTTTATTGTTTTCTCCAATACCCTATGAGCGTGAATTCAGAATTCTGTGCAGAATGTAATTTCAATGACGCTGAATATCCATGATTTTGTTCTAATTTTTCACACGCAATTTAATTGACAAATTTGATAATTAAAAATGGTTGAATAGATGGTGTGGTCTGTACCAAACTGTAAAAAATACTTGAATATCCTTTATAATTTTCAAACTGCAAGACCGTCACGAAAAAAAAAACAGCTACGCCCTTTTAATTCTGAGGCGACGACTTTTTACGACC